TGACTTAATTCCTTATCTTTATATATTATCGCTTATCAAAAGAAATTGGAACAACTTCAAATAACTATCGATTTTTAAGATTATTTAGCACCCGATTGACTAACTCGTTTAACTACAAAAGAACATCTCTTAACTTAAATTGTAATTAAATATTATAAATAAAAATTACGTGTAGGTAGCCAAAGAGCTTAAGACCTAATCAGTTACATATTTCTCAGAGCTTTTGTTGTTCTGCACTTTCGAAAGCCCGAAACTTACTCTTTCATCGAAACACGAGTACCAACGTAGCCGCATCAGCTGATTAGATTATAACAAAGACGCTTATCTTATCTCCAGTGGAAGTGTAGAGCATTTAGCAAGCACATCACTAAACGGATGAATTTCGATGTTATTTGCTTTGTACACTACTTAGTGGAAGTGAAGTTCCTCACCACTGGAAGGTAGCTCATCAGTTAGTCATAAAGTGAATGGGGAGAAAAGTTTTGAACATTCAGTCAGTCGATAACCACCAAGCATTCAGCAGCCAACCAATTCGAACATGACAAACCAGTGATTGAGGACATACCTTCCAGTCGATTAATGGTAGTATTTGCAGTTAGCTTATGGCTCTGCAATGTGTCATAAAACCCAAAATGTGGCTGGGCCTTAAGCAAATCCTGCTCTACGTGGGCCTCCTGCTCTGTGTCGTTCTTCAGGTTTGCAGGAGCAAAGCCCAGCTGCAGATGTTCTGCCCCACCGTCTGCCACTGTGATCTTCATGCCCAGCGTAATCGAGCGATATGCAGGTAAGCTGTCAATGGATCAGGGTTCCCTGCTGAGTTTTTATTATATTTATATTATTTTTGTGCAGTGCCAAGCGCTTGATAAGCGCCAATATAGAAATGCCCAAAACGGTCGAGCTATTGGACCTGAGCTACAACGATATCACCACCATTGATGATGACTCCTTCAAGGTAATGTTTTAATATTTAATTTGACTATTTTCCAAATAGATTTATATATCTTAAGTGCATTTAAATTTAATTTAAATTTAATACATTTGACCGAATTTTCATCCAGTACTTTCCGCATTAATACAACTGTTTTAATATTAAATCATGCAATTTATTATGCGTCGTATTGAATTTAAACATGAAAAATGAAATATTAATTTATACTATTCCATTTTTTTAACAGTGTAATGTCACAAAAATGTTATAATTCATTTATTATTTTTCCGTAGACTACCATACACCTGATCAACCTGACACTGGCTCACAATGCCATCCACACAATTTACGGTGATGCTTTTTCGGAGTTGCCCAGACTTCGCTACCTTGATCTTTCGTACAATCGCCTGGAGCAGATCGATGAGCATATCCTGGAGTCCAATGGCCAGTTGATCCACCTCAATCTGGAGGGCAACAAATTGTCCACCCTGGGAAAAGGACCCATTTTGAGGAGTCCATCGCTTCGCTCTCTCAACCTGCGCAACTCGCAGGTAAATCAGCTGGGAATCCAGCTCCTAAGTGCCCTACCGCAACTGCGTCAACTGGATTTGGCCCAGAATCTGCTGTTGACCCTAAGTCCCGGGGATTTCCATGCCCCACGCTATTTGGCCTCGCTGAATTTGGAGGAAAATCCCTTCAACTGTGATCGGGCTTTGGCCAAAGTGGCCACTGGATTGAGACAACGTGGAGTGGCTATTTTCATGAGCGATTGCGTGGAGGAGGAGCAGGAGGTTAATCAGGAGGAAGTGCAGGTCCAGGAGGATGCCACGATGAAGTTTGAGCGCATGGAACACGTGGAGCCCAGCACCCAAGGACCTCAGTCGGTGCTGTCCATCTGGCGGGAGTTGGACTCCAGCGAGGAGCAGAACAGCGAAGATGAAGACGACCAGATGTCCTCGCTGAGCGACGTCTGCGAGGGAAGTCGCGAGAAACTCTGCATGCGATACCGCACCTGCTTGGAACCTGTGAGCCATGAGCTGCTGGCTGGAGGAAACTCGCAGCTGGAAGATGGAATCATACGCACACACACCTACGACGAGGATGACCTGAAGCTGGCCTTTGTGGTGGGCGGGGCCACGGGCGTCTGCATGGTCATCTTCATCATCACCTGTGCCCTGTGCCTTAAGAGCTGCTGTGAGATGCGCAAGAAGAAAAATAATCCCGATCATATCGATGGGGTTTCAGGTAGGTCGTTCATTTAGAGGATTATTCAGTATTTTAAAGAGCTATTTTATTCAGCCCCTCTAGATCCCTCGGAGGAGAGCCTGCCCTCCATTCACACACACTGGTCACCGCAGCGGACTCGCCACCCTAGACGCTCCAATCCTCAGCGTCCGCGCAGCACTGCATCGCGTGCCTTGGTCCGCCAGCCTTACGGACCTCAGGACAATTTCGTGAACCGGCTGTTTGGGCGTCCGGCCCGCAGTCAGTACTACCGGACCATTAATCAGAACACGGCCACCCTCATCCGGCGCCTCAGTCGGAGTAACCTCTTCACCAGCCGGGATCGGGAGCCAAGTTCCCCCACCACGCCGCCAACTTCCACGGCCAGATTCTATACGGATGTGGTCGAAGGTGGCGCGGCGAGACCGGAGACACCACCTCCAAACTACGGCGATGTGGTGGTCATCGAGAATTGTGATAACAAGTGAAGGAGGCTCCTTTGCTTGTGAGGGCAGACATTCGCTTTAGCTGATAAATATTCTAAGATATCACTCTTCTCGTCCTTACTTCATTTACAATAAAGACCTGTATAAGATAATCCAAACAATAACCTATAATTCAATTGAAAATATATGTAATAATTCGGAATTTGTGACAGCAATTTTTTAATTTATGTTCAAAGAAGTTTTTACTTACACTCAGAAAAAGTCAATTATTGCCTAAACAGTTGTTATAGGTTTTGGTTTCCTACATTTTGTGAGAAAAGCTCAAATATAAGGAAATTTTTCTAAAATTTAGGCAATTTTTCCTAAGATCAAAGAAATTTTGTTTTCCAAGTGTAGCTAAAGTTATTATTAACGAGTAGATATTTATATACCTATATAGTACATACAATTTATTTTTTTTTTATTTCATACAACTCTGTTATTTCTAAGTTTGAAACGTTAAAAACAATATGTATTTCACTTAGATCCCAAATATCTCTTAGGGAGCCCACAACATGCTGTTCAACAGACCCTTGAAAACTTCAATGTATCCTCATTCTCATCGTACATACACACAAAAATATCAATTGGGGAATTCCAGCATTTTTGCTTTTCTTTTTGGATGAGCATTACTTTTACAGGACTTGGACTTGCAGCTGCAACAAATCGCAATAAAAACTTTTGACAAAACTATCAAAGTTGGCATGGCATAGGGTATGGTATGGGAATGGGCCAGAGCCAACTGTGAAATTGCCACAGGAAAATCTCCGAAAAATTCAAGTAGCAAAAGTTTACACACTCAAATAAATGCTGAAACGCGGAAGAAGATGGGAGGTCCTTTTAGGCCCCCCGCGTTTCAATCCCTGCCGGTAGACAAATCGAAAACACCACAAAGGAAAATAAAAACCGCACAAAAAATGCCAAAAGAATAAAAGCGAAAAAAGCTCGGCAAACCCAACAATTTGCACTGCAAAGCGGCAAAAGTGTCTCCAAAGAAACAACCATGAAAACCCGACCAGATACGGAAAAGAATAAATATATATATATATATGGGGGGAAGAAAGAAGGTCCAAGTTATGTTGCAATGGGAAAAAATGAAAGCGCATGTTATAGCAAAAACTGAATGTGGAAATACACTGGGCGAAGGTGGCGAAATAATAAATTTGTTTAAGGGATAAGCTATAGAAAAACTAAAGCAAGTACCTTATTACGTGCAAAACTATTAAAGTTTATTTATTTATTATTATTAAATAACTCAACATATTTTATATTTAGGCTGGACACAACAACTTTTAATTGGTCTTAACTGTACAAAAATAAAACCTGCAAAATATAAGCTATATTTTCAAAAAATATTCTGAAAATCTGCATTTAAAAAACCGCGTGCAATAATCATGTCTTTGATGATGAGGTCTTTAAATTTCGGGAGCGTTTTCAAAACACTTTACTTTACAATATATTTTCACTGCAGAAACCTGGCTAGCAGCCATTGAAGACCATGGATCATTTGCAGCCTAACCGAACGCCACTCTTTTAATTCGTCCTTCATTTGCCTGCGCTCTTTTAAAGCAAATTTGCCGTGTGGCATCTTCATGGGTTCTGTTGTTAAGTGTTTGTCTAGCTGTCTATCTATCTATCCAAACGTATCTGTGTTTTGTGGTGCCAACTTTCATTGCACTGAGCCCGTCGCTGCCGTGCACAAAAGTTAACGTATCCAGGGACCAAAGTTGCGTTGTCAACAACCAAAACGCAGGAAAAAAGCGGATCTGGAAAAAAGGAAAAAAGGGGGATATGGGGGAAATGGGGGAAACCGTATCGGGGAAGCTTGGCCAAAAAAATGCTCACACCAGGAGGGCTGAGGAAGCACAGTTGCAGAGCGTGAAAAAATATCTAAATCCAACATTAATGAAAAACTTTTTGCATAATCCACGATGAAGCTGGCGGCGAAAGCAGCAAACCGAAATCAAACCCCGTTGGCCCCAAAAGGAGATGCAGCCAAGCGGAGCAGGAACTCCCCATCGAGTGAATAAAATGCAATAGAAGAGGGCCAGGATAACAAAGCAACAGATTCCGCAGGGAGGAGGAGGAGTGGCAGGAGGCGGATTGGGGTTTTTGAGGCATTGAAGGACACACGCCAAGCGGCTTAAAAGGTTCTGAAGGTTACTCCCAAGAAAGAAGTAAGTGATGAGATATCTCAGTCTTCGGGGTTGGGGTGGCGAAAGTTGCACTAAATCTAAGCCATGGCTTGGAAAACTGTGCGTCTTGATTTGAAAGGGAATTGGTGTAAGGAAAAACTGATTGGAAAATGGTTCAGAGTGGATCAAAGGGGTTGAGGTGTCCCTTCAAAGGTAGGACGCCTTTCGTTCAGAAGAGCCTTTAAACAAAGCATTTATTTTCAATGGAAATACGATTTCGTATTTAAAAATTATGAGATTATAAAAATAACATGAGTTAACAGTATAACTAACAAATTTCTTAAAATATATATTATTTACAGGAGACACTAAAGTCAAAATAAATATATTAACAACATAGATTCATTTTACTTTAACTTTCAAATCGACTACAACCTATTTTAAGATATTTAATTAATTTTTTAGTAAGCATTTAACTATATCTCATGATCTGCCTGGCAAATGAAATGTCGCTCGCTGTCACAAGCAGAATGATGCATTGCGTGATTGTAAATAAGCACACACTCAACAGGGAATACATTGTTTGGAATTCCCCAATACCAGTTTACATATTGAGGTGGTTTACCGGAGGCCACAGATACGAACTGCTTCACATTTTCCCGATTGTTGATGCCCAGCCAGTAATAAGTGTTTTTCTCTAGCTTCGCACTGATGGCGTTAAATTCATCTTCGTTTTTGATGGATGCCAGATGGCCACCCTTAAGACGGCATGTGTTTTCAGCCGTAAGCCAATCTAGAAAATCCTTCTTCTCGATATAGAAAAATCTGGAACCGATTTGCTCGAAGAATGGCAAGATAATTTTGTCATTATTTACGGAATGGGTTTCTTTGCTTCCTGTTTCCTTAAAGCTCTCCACTCTCGTTTCAATTTGACTTTCCATTGTATTCTGAAGTTGGCTTAGCACTTTGACTTGTAGCTCCTGCAGTCTACTTTCTATCATTTCCATTTTCGCTTTATTTTCAATTAATGTGTCAGCTATTATGTCTAATTTTTGTCTCTGCTTGGCATTGTGATCGAACAGCGGATGCAGTGCTCCCAAACAGAATGCCCCACATTGATTTGGAGCGTCCTTCACCACACACAGTGAATGGGTATCCTGAGTTTGGGCCGCACCATACAAATTGCACACAATAAAAGCGTAACAAAAATACGTTGCAAGCTTCCACATATTAAGAGCGTAGAACCACTGAAGGCAAATGATTTTATGGAACTGATGATTCTTAAAAGCCAACAATTGCTGATAAGCCTATTTACATTTTACAAAAAAAAAAAAAATGTTATTTCAGGGGCGTAAACCCATAATCGTCAATGGCATGCATTGATAAACAGCATGCATTTATTTATTATTTTAAAAATGCAAAAGTGAGGCTATTTAAAAAGGGCTACAAACTAAAAGGTTTCAACCCTTCAAAAACATTTGGAATTCTGTTGTAAAATGTTTTAAATAAATTGTTTCATTTGTTAGCTATATGGTTTAGTCTTTCGATCCGGCTCGTTCCGACTAATATACTATACTTATACTTATATACTACCTTCAATATAAAAACAACTTTTGGAAAAGTATTGAGTCAAAAATGTGTCCTTCACAGTTTAAAATACTTTCTGCAAGGGAAAACAAATATTATAAATATTTATTAAATAACAGGTTTAATTGCAATTTTAAACGAACACAAAATGTTGTCTTTTAGAAGAGTATTTTAATTACTACATATATGCCCTCTCAAAGCCCGCTCGCTATTCCCCTAAGTCCCTGTCATTATAATCTAAGTTCCCGATTCTATACATCTCAGTTTCATAAGCTTCAGTTACCTTTGCAGAGTGTTAAACGCTACATGGCCATTTGCCAGCACTTTGCCCGCTGCAGAGTAAATAAATTAAATTCTTATTTGCCGGCATTCGGAGGGGCGCCGGTAGCCCCTGGGTTTGGTGCAAAACTTTCAGCAGGTGCCGGACACGGTCGCCTGATACTTTCTACCTGGCCGTGTGTTGCAATAACAAACTCATGCTAATTGCTTTGCTAACAACTCGCAGCAACAGGAGCGGCAGCAACTTGGACTTGCACTGACAATAAGAGGGCAGAAAGCGCAGCTACGACAATAAATATCAGCAGGAACTGGCAAGGAGCTGGCTAGAACTCCTGGCTACCTTTAATTACGGTTTCGCAGGACATCATGGCACACATACACACACTTACACGACCTGCTAACTAGTTGCACATGGCACAGATACACTCATGACACGATTGACCTCCTGGCTTCGGGATGTTGCAGGTGCCGCCTCCTCAACGCTTCAAGCCAGTGTCCTCTGCACTGGTAAAAACTACAGTGACATTTCAAGGATGCTATTTCAGGATATAAAATATTTTTAATTGTTGGTTAAATATTAAAAACTCAACAACACACTTGTTAAAAATGTTTTGTAGGTTTTTTAAGAATTTTAAATTTATATTATATAAAGTAATTACATTCTATTAATAATAATAGTATGTTCAACCATCTTGTAACATTTAATTTCATAAAAGGTCATAATTTTGTCACTTCACACAAAAGTAACAAGAAATACAAATTATTGTCTTACTATTTCGATGCGTTCTGATTACATTAAACACTTTAAAATACTTTATATTTTGATTCTTTGATGTTTTCAAGAATCAAATTAATTGTAACATGAGTTGTCACGAAAATCGGCTACGAGTATGCAGCAAAATAACATTTTTTCTTGTGTATTGCCTGGGTTTATAGAATTTGCACACGAACTTGCGATAATTGCTGGGAAATGAAATAAAAATGCAATTAAAGCCGGCGACGCTGCAGAGCTGAAGAGCTGGACCCTCGCTCGTTGAAATGAGCATTCAATTAAGCGGCAGCCAACGAGCTGCGAGACCGTGTCACGGAATGGGAGTGTCCTGTTTTCGGTGTCCGTCCGCATGTCCGTCTGTCCGTCTGTCAGGGGCATGCACACTTGACGGCAACATCGTCGAGGGCGTTTACAAAATGATTTTTATCTTTATCAAATTAGAAAACGACAACAGCAAACGGGCCCAGCCGATCCCGATCCCGATCCCTATCCCTATCCCCTTCCATATCCCCATTCCTATCCCCAATCCGCTGCCTTCGTCACTACTCGGCTTCCCTTATCCAGTCAGCCGTGTCTTGGCAGTGTCATAGCAATTAAAACTCTGCCATGCCATTGTGTAGATTACATCGCCGGCGAGTCGGGGGCGTTCTTGGTCAATGGGCAGATGTTAAATGCTTTGAAGTTTATTTCTAGATTTGCACGACTGCCCTCTGTGAATCTATGTGAAAGTATATGAATGGAAATGTATAAAAGTGGGCGGAATCCACATCTGGAGTCTGCTACTATTAGTAGATTACGTTTGTTCAGCACAAGACTGAATGGCTGTCTTTAAAGGCATCTTTACTTTATTTTTCTGATTTAAGCCTTATTTAATTACCTTGACTATGAAGGGATTACGAAAGCGCAATTAAACTTAAAAAAAAAAAAATATGTATATATATTTTGTTCAAGGGTTTAATTTTGTAATGTTTTTTTGTTTTGTTTGTTGCCTATTGTTGTAATTTAAATCATTTGCCTTTTTTACGTTCCCACTTCAATGTTATCAGGTTGACAACATAAGAATCAGCTTACATCCTTTTATGAGTGACCTTTTATATATTTGCTTAACTGAAAAAAAAACTTATTTAACCAACAATTGCCGCCTTTCGCCATTCATGTCGTTCGTACAATTTGACAATTTATCCCTGGCGACAGTTAATTTTTAATTTACACACAAGGGCACAAAGCCCAGTTCATTGCCTCATTCGCTTTCTTAATGCCGTTTGGTGACTGTTTTCAATTTACATGAACAGGGCACAAAAGGACACACTCGCAGAGGAAGCGGGGATGAAGGACTTTCGGCCGTTGGCGGCATTTTACACGTGACAGGTGAGTGGGTGGCGGGTGTGGAAATGAAAACACCCCTCAAATGCGCCCTGGGGACACTCGTGTTTTTTCGCTTTCGCTCCAACTTTTTCACCACTCTGCTAAACTTCCACTAAACATTTGCCTTCAATTTTGTGTTTCTATTTTTTCCCCCCATCAACTTGTTTGGCAGTTGGCTGTCGTTTCGGTTGCTTTTTCTGTGGCTGTCTCTGCCATAGTCGATGTACTAAACATTTTTTAATGGCTTGTTTTGTGGCCCAAAGTTGTTGACTGGTTGACTGGCCAGCAACCTTTTAATGAGTTTGTTTCCTTACAGAAGGCTTAAGAGGGTGGGCGCTGGCAGTCTTTCATTATTCATGGCTTCATCAATATTTTTCAAGCAAATCATAAAAACTTCACGCTTCTGGCAGTAAGGGTTAGAAATGCACAGAAAAAAATATGTTGATTTTTAATGTAGACTTATGTAAGTGTATATTAATATATAAAATAATATAAAATATTAAAATAAATATGATTATTATATATGTAACAAATATATATGTACCAAATAAGCTAAAATTCTATTCTATAGCAGTTTTAATCAATCGAAATGTTAAAATATATATAAAATAGAATTTAAACCTATCAATTTGATGTATGTTTAATTTTTGTTCAGTGCAGAACAAACCTTAAAGGAGTTCTTTATTCTCTGCATTAACCTCTGAGTGCAGCTCGGCTCATTAGCTGCCATTTTACAGCGTTTTGCAATTTTGTTTGCTCAATTTCATAAGCAGTTGTGCCTTGCATTGCACTGCGCCTAAATGTATGCAGCACACACAAGAGATGCTAATGTATGCCAAACACATACGCTCACCCACACATCCTCATACGCATATTTCTGATTTTCAAAATGGACGCAAACGAAGTTGCCGCTCACAAAAGGACGCAAAGTTCCTTCTGTGCTCGGTTTAGCATTTTTCCTTTACTTTCCTTGCTCCTGCGGATGTGTAGAGAAAGTTTTCCGGGCTCTACGAATTTGTTCGCTTTCTGAACGCTAGGAAAGAACTGTATTTTTTTTCCCGTTTTCAACAGAATGAGAGTATTGGGTGAAAGGATATTAGGAGGATACAATAGATCGAATGTCTATATGCGTAAAGCGCTTTCTTTAAAATCTTATTTAATTACCTTTATAAAAATTATATCAAAGCTTCACTTAAAAATTTTAACTTTACTGATTTGCTAATTAAATTATAATTGATATAAGTACTCCCAAACGATTTTAAATTTTAACTTTACATGTACATCTACTCCCTAAAAAAAAATGTAATAAACTAAATAGTTTCACATATTTTCAAACTCCTACTGATAAAAACAACAGCACCTCTTCTTTACCAGGCATATAAAAACAGAATCATTGATTAACTTAAAGGTAAAATTGAAGTCGGACTCGCCTGGGTTTTTTCAAAGAGGTTTGCTCGGTGAAAATGGGAAATGCAAAAGTGGAAAGCTAGAGCTTTTGCTGAAATGCGTATAAAGTTTGTGAAGTAGTTCCCGGGACTTGTTTGCCATGCATCATAAATCCATTTTGTGACCGCAAACCTAGGCTAGCTCCTGAAGCACAAATCTTTGGGCCGGGTCAAGGGGACAAAGTGGTCAAGTGGCTGATTAGCCTTTAATTGGAGGCCCTTTGTTAATTAAGATCCGGTGATCCCGCCGGGTCATTGGAGATGGATAGCTGGCTGTTGGCCACTAAAAGCCCTTGTTCCCCGTCCAGGGACGAAAGTAATTATACGGCCCGGGGGCTGTCCGATGTCCATTCAATTTTCGCCCTCATTGCGGGGCGGTGAGGAGGCGTGGCGGTTGTGTGCTAATTTCCGGTGCTCATATTTGGCAGACAGTCAGTCACGCCCACTTACACAGCGACAGCAGCAACAAATTGCACCACATCCTGCGACGACGTCGATGACGTTGGTCGATGTTAGTGACGATGTTAGTGACGATGACCATGACGATGATGATGCGATGACCCGACGTCGACGAGTGGAGAGAAATTCAATTGCAGTCTCCGTGGCGCAAAAATATAAGCAACAATAAACCAAATGAAACAACAGCCAGCGGCTGACAGCCTTGTAACTGTCAGGCATAACATACTAAATCTATTATCCCCTCACAGGAAACCACCTCCGACTCTTCACTTTCCCTAACCCAATGCATGCATTTTTGTTTTCCCATGGATGTTTACTAACAAAATTACCCGGGGGCCCTTAAGGGAATGG